TGTGATTTTCAGAGAGAGAGAGAGAGATGATGTCATTTGCAAGACAAGAATTGAAAGTCCATATGCACCTGAGAACCTTTGCGCAATTCTCGATCATCCATGAAAATAAACATATTTGAATTTCAACGAATCAGAAAGCAACTATATTATATACATACTGAGATTTTCTCACATATTTTTCTATTTGAAAATTCGTTTCAAAAWATAAACTAACCAATCATAGGAGCGAAACGAATTTCTCACACGTGCGAAAAGCGTTTCGTCCAATCAGGAAAGACTTGTGAAATCAATCAACAACTTCAACCTTCTTTTTACAAGTGACAAAGTGAATTGACAATTAATATTGTCAGGAGAAAAACAAAAATTCARCAGCTAAAACGGCGAAATGATGAAAAGCTGCTAGATGAATTTCCGARAGAAAAAAGTCTTTAGCAAAGAGATCCAATTCCAAGAGACCTAACGAGGCTGAAAGAATACATCTCTGACATCTCTGCGACTTCATTATGATTGTTAAGCCTAAAGACATTCAAGAMATTTTCTGAACTAGCAGGTCCTTAAGTTTTATTTTCAAGTTCTAATCGACATCTAAAGAGTTAATGCAAATATTCCACCAGTATAATTTCCAAGACCACAGCGAAWACTATGTCTCGGACACAGCTCCAGCACGACTTCGATGTTTGAACTGAAACCCGCGCTTGTCAAATCAACCACCGTCGCCAGCAGCAGAACTGTTCAAAGAAGCTGTATTTTATAYGGTAAATTTYTCAGTATTAGATATAAGTCCTAGATGTACTTCATCTTCAACAGATTGAAGTATAGAAAACAGAACACTATTATATGAATAAAACGCGTATAAAAGTTCATTCGCGACAACGGCGATAAAAAGTAAACAGTTTCATTGATTAAGGTTTCTAGGCTTGTTGTACTTTCCTCTAATGTACCTTTTCGTTATTTTTTATCTTATTCCGTGAATGACAATTGACTATAAAGTAGGTTATAGATGTGATTTATTTATAATTATCCAATTCAGYATTAAAAATTGTATCGTATAATTTGATCGCAAATWACTTTAAGCGAGTGTGTAAGACAAAACACAAAAKCACACAAAGCGCAAGAGTCGCTCAAGTAGACGCTATAAATCTCAGTATGTATATAATAAACAAACTTCGTCATGGAAAGTGCTTTTGTACGGGATTTTCGCACTCGTTGTTTTTGAATCTAAAATCTCACTCRTTCGCTACGCTCACTCGTTCGATGATTCATCACCAACGCGTGGGAAAATCACGTACGTCAGCACTTTTCTTGAAGAAATCTATATTTACTCAACAGCTGAGATTGTTTTGGAGGAAAGGGGACCTTCTAAAATTATTCAATTCTAATACTGAAGGCYTAGCAAACTTACCTGACTGGATGTTGCTGCTATGGATGGTGATATAGCTGTTCCTGTCTGGACGACATTGTTCGTGCATAAAACCAAGGCTGTGCATTATCTCGTGCATTACCTTTCCTTTGCTCTTAGCGCAGCTTCTCCTTAACTTAACAGCCTGAGCTCCAGAAGCCCGATATCCAATGTCAGTTATACATCTTTATAACAAGAAAGATGGTGATTATTATTAACAATTGTAAGCGGAGCTCCAAAGATAAGAAAAATGGTAATATATAATCGAGTCCATTTTTCATGGACCGAAACAGGACTCCCGCGACAACATAGTTTCCTTCCTTCAATCCTTCCGTCGTGTACTTCGCGCGAAAATAAAGAAAAGCCGCAAAATATTTGCTGAAACGTCGAAATTTGCCTTCAAACATTTATAYTTGAAATTGATAAAATTAGAAAAATCAATGACAAGAAAAAAAATACAGGAGAGCGAAGTCAAAGCATAGAGATTCTCGCCAACTTCATAACAGCGAAGTGTTTGCACATCCGGGAAATCGATTTGTGGAAAGTAAAACACAATTATTTCATGCGTTTTAAGCCTCACTGATGGGAATAAAACAAAAGAAAAACAAAAAAGAAAAACAKGAGTGACTTTTGGCTTAGATATTTCGATAACAAGAAAAAGCAATGATCTGTGTCGAGTATAGACATTTTGAATCCAAGACCTTGCCAGCAGAACTGGATCGAAAAAAAACAAAGAATCGAAAAAAATAAAGTCTTAAATGACTTATAAATGTTAGTTTTGTTATTGTTGCAAATAAAAATCCTGGGTTTTACTTACGCGCTTCCACTCTGGAACGCAAGATAATTTCTTTCTGAGCCTCTTTCGACCAWTCGAATGCATGTCTTGCTTTTAAAGACCTCCGCTGCTCTTTTTATAACATCATCATTGACACCTGTCAATARGAACAATAAAATTCACAATCAATAAAGAAAAGGCTTTATGCTCGTTTTTATGCATAAAGAATTTAGACAAATTTGACGATCAGCTCGTGCACTGCAAAATTAAAATAAGAAAATAAAGAGCAAAAAATTAGCCCTGCTCGCTGTTCTAATAGTATAATTCAAAAAGGCTTATCAAAAGAAATGCGAGTGCAATAAAAGAAAGAAGGAAAAAAGTGCCCATTTCTCTTGATACGTTTCATGCGGCGATCTTCACATCCGGTCTGCATATACTCTAAAAGGGGGTTCTCTCTAATGCGCATGCTCAAGTCGATTATTCAAAAGAGAAGAACGACACTAAAATATTTATTTCAATTCATTTTTTTATGGAATTTAAGTTTCCGAATTGGTGAAAGTGATCAAAGTGAAAAACTCCAGAAATAACTTACCGCTAGTGGTATATGGGATTGTAACGGTGGATCCACTTTTTGGCCATATGTAATCGGTGCTCCAAGCCATACGCTTCTGGCGGGTTTTTGAGTCCTTGTGGAACTGACTTTGTTTCATTCTCATTTCATCAATTATTATTTCATCTAAACATTATCAAATATCAGCATGCATTGTACTGAACACTTTGCTAGTTCACAAAGGAAGCACGCATGCAAAGGGAATACAACATATTCATTTATTTTTTTGAAAACCTATGTGTCGAAAACTGGTTGCCATGCCAACGTGAATGACCACGACGTCGACATAAAGTATACACCAAGATCTGCTCAGCAAGAAATTTTCAGAAAAAGTCAAAACATTTTAGTGCTGTAGATGTCTTGGTTCCAAAGTTATTAGCATTTGACAGACCCCCTCCGGTCTGAATAAGGCTAAACTACATAACAAAAGGACGACACATTTGCTTGTGAGGTTGTCAACAATATATGTAGCTGAAAATCTCTTTCCCAGGAAAAAATTCGTACAAGAACATTTATTTAGAAGAAAAGAAACCGTCGGCTGCTCCTGATTTTATGCTTATTCTTTTGTTACTTTTGTTCAAATAGCAATATTACAATTAAGGAATTAGTGTTTAATGCTTTTACTGGTCATGAAAGCACTCTAGTGGCAAAAAAAAACTCTGCGAAGTTATAGTAAATAACGTAGAATAGACGCGTATAAATTTTGTGGACACATTTCTTGATTAAGGCTAGGAGCAATTAATGAAATAGTGTTGTCGATTCAATTGTYCTCTTACGCGAGCTAGAAAACAATGGTCCATTGGCTGAAAGTGTCCACGTAACATGACATAATGGAATTTGTACGTCCCAAAAAATGGGGTTTTTGAAAGCTGTAGGAACTAGTAGGAACTATTAGGAACGATCCGATTGCTGGAGTGACCGCAATTGATATATAAGACTTCGACTGTACCCTGAATTAGTTTACTTTTCTGTTTACTTTCTTAAGTAACAATGCGCTAAAGAACTAGGGAACTCTCTATTGTTCTGCGGCATAGCAAGTTCCCCATGTACGAATGTCTTAGTTTTCACACTGATTATGTATCCATCTGTGGGTAACACATTTTTGAAATAAAATGTGGATAAACTTTATTTTGAAACAAAGTTTCTTTTGTATWAAAAGCTCTTATCCAATCATAAGCACTCAAAACAATAGCCAAAAGATGCTTCTAATTTGCTATGTTCCCCACGTAGAATTGCCTTAATATTAAAGCTAAAGAAAGCTTTCATCAAAGCGAAAACAGACATTAAACAAAATATTAGAAAATTCGGTAACTTGTGAAATTATAGCAGATTTTCATGTTTTAACCAATGGGATGGATGGATTATACAATGCGCAATTAGCACCTTCTTGCATTCCTATGCCGTTTGCTTCCCTAGTTCTTACTCGGGGCATTACTGATATCTTAGCTTTGATGATGTAATCTTTTTGCATTCGGAAACGTTATTTCAATACGGTRTAAATAGTTACCTTGACCTTGATCATCCTTAACCTGTGGCGGAGRATCTGATGAATAATTATGAGCATGGTTTGTGATGTGACGATATTTTTAATATTAAGGTACGTTTTCATACAGCATCGCAGATAGCATTGACATGCTGTATTTTGTGTGCATGAGATAACATTTTAGGAAAACATGATTCTGATAACATTTTTGTGGTTACTACAGTCCGAAGGACGGAGTAAAACACTGTGTCAGCACGTTTTGCAAGAAAGGTAGGACGTCCGTAATTCTCGTTGGATTGTGAAGTCACATTATTAAAATCTTCAGGAAAGTTATCATGACGGCTGAATTCATTTCCGGGTCGGCGAAGCACATGGGACACATGGCTGCCCAGACATCACAAACATGACTCCACATTATAATGCTAAAATTGATGCCAAAGATGGAATTTAAAAAAAAATGTGAATTAAAATTTGTAATCTTTTACTTGAAATTTGGCTATTGATTTTACCACAAAACCAGATACTTGTAGAATTTAGATTAACCTCCAAGTGTGTAAAGACTAGATAATTTTTATTTTTAATACAGTTCTTGCATTATAAAAGAGAAATCACCATCAAATGCGGCCATCACCTAAATTGGCCGATGACGCCTTGCGAAGCAGAGAACAGAATCAAAAATTGATCTGAAGAACTGTAATTTTTGTGGCTGTGTTTTTTTTCTTTTTTCTTTGCTTTGAAAAGTGGGTTATCTTTTTTATATTCTATTTCTTCCGTTGGTCTTAACTTTGATGATGTAACCTTGTTGGCAGCCAAGAACATTATTTCAATACGGTGTATATAGTTACCTTGACCTTGATCATCCTTAACAGATGGCGGAGGATCTGATAAATAATCATGAGCATGGTTTGTGATTTATATCAATAATTTAATATTAAGATATTTTTATTATTAAGGTAAGTTTTCACAAACTACTGCAAATGGCATTGGCATGCTTTATTTTATGTGTTTGAGATAACAACATGATTCTGATAACATTTTTTTAATTTAAATTTGCTTTCTGATCCATGCTGTGATTCAGGGTTTTTGTACAACTAGTCCCCGATACTTATTCAAGTAGCCACAATGACCCTAATCGTAAAGCTTATAAAGTCGTGGTCACAGATCCCAAAGAGATTTGGACAAAATCAGTAATTTTATTTGCTTAAAGACGGGGTGGGGACAACGTCTAAAATTAACTAGAACTTTAATTTGTAAACTGGAAAATGAACGGTGTCGAATTCTGTGCTTTTTGACCAAATACTGACTGTATTGGAAAACTTCTCAAGATAAGCGTGCGACGATTTGCGATAACTCTAAATTCACGAATAATAAATAAAAAAGAGCGTGATTTATTTCGTTTGCGAGGGGAAGGGTGGGAGGCATTTAGTAATTATATTTTTTTGACTTTGTTGGCTCATTTCTCAGCCCCTATCCTCCCTCCTGACAAATATCGCGCATTCCCTTATTTAGGAGAACAGATCCCGTCGTCTCCTGATTTCATCTAAATATTATCCAATGTATTATTACATGTACAATTTGGTGCAATTTTTACTAAGGAAGCACGAATGCAAAGGGAATACAGCATTAGTCGAATAACGAATACTATATTTTTTATGTCATTTCTATTCGGGTGTTTTGCTCAGTTGTTGTACATATTATTGTATTGGATCAAGGGATGGAAAAGGTTGYCAGAGGCTAATTAAAAAACTAATTAATAATTTAATGAGTTATTAGGCCAATGAGCCTACTTGAGCCTCTTTCTTAGCATAAGCGCTGCAATTGGTACGATCGGTAAGGACTATATCTTAATTAAAAGAGGCCTCCACTCTGGGGGGGTGTAACTTTTAACTAAGGAGCGATAAGTCTAGAAGTTGAATGAAGCCAGAAACTCCAAAAAGATTAAAAAAAACATAGCAACTTTGCTGTTTGGTCATCACCAATAGCTAGTTCCAAAGTGATCACCAATGGTATAACGTTAAAACTTTATCTTTGTAGTTAGAATTCTACGTGGATTCGAATTTCAGATTTCTGTGATATATGCTTTGAGTAACTGGCTCACTGTATTCTACATTAAGGATTCTAATGTTTGTGCCAATATTAAACCACAAACCAGGATGTTTTTCTGGATGCCTGTTTATTTTAGGAAGGCCACCTATATAAACTTTTCTTTTTCATAGCCTTATCCATAGTTTGATGAGATGSCTACGACTTYCGCAAGAGGAAAAGCAATACGAACATTTTCGAATCGAGTTTAGTGAGCACTGTACTTACCTCTGTTACTAGGTGAAGCGTTCAAGTAACCTGAAGCTAAAAGAAAAGCAACAAACACCAGGAGTTGACGAGCTCTCTTCATCTCTCTTCCTTAGACAGTTCACACTGCCAAAGCAATCTCTGTCAATGATTTGTATTAATCTACCATCGTGAGAAAATAACATCAATGCGATAAGAAATTTAAACTATGGCTTTGTCTGATGTAAGCTTTTAAAGAGGCTTTAATTGACTCTATTCAACCATAAAAATATAAGTGTTCTCTAGATCTATATAATTGCGAAGCCTTTCGAGATTTGGAGAAAAATGACTTTATCTTATAAAGCTATTTTGTTATTTGGCAAGCGAATGACTGAAGGTTTTGAAAAATAAKAGAAACCTGAGATGGTCAATGAGGTGGTTAGTATTCAAAGGAAGGCATTGTTTCCGTAACTTTAAAGTTTTCTAAGACTAACTGCACAATACCAGTAAGATATTGAATGCAAAAATCCCGTGAATTTCGCCCAGAAGAAAAAAGTGTCTTATACCAGTAGTGGACCATATCGTGCCTTACGTTAGATTTCKTTTGATCAAATACACGTAAGATTCATTTTTTTTAATTACAGTGATTTAAAAGACACCCTATATACAATTATGGTATTATAATGAGCACTTAACGACGTGAAACAACAGGAATGGTGTTAATCCAGGTAATCCATGCATTGTACCATGTACCAGATAATATCTGGACTAAAAARCAACATCAAATAACAAAATSGGCTSTTTGGGCYATAAGGTTGTYTTTAAAAACTGGAAGTTCTTTGGAAAACAGGTATCCAAAGTTATTTGATTCAATCTTGCAGCATTGGTCAATATTCTTAACTTGCGCTGAACAAGAAACAGCTGCGACCGTTAAAGATTAGGCTTAGTACGTGTATATGAATGTGGACAGATCTCAACAACAAATGTCGAGGACTGATACGGACAAGCTACACATCAATTCAAACAAAAAAATCTCTTCCATTTATTCTATTTTGAGAAAAGGATACAATCTTAAAGAGTTGAAGGATAGTTATYAATTACTATGGCAACAGTTCCTTGCTGAATCTATTTTAAGGCAATGTTCACGAAAGGACCTACAATCTTTAACACRTAAATCAAAATTGTGACAGTTCTCAAATTAACTTTTTTTTCTTTATAGCTTTCATATATATTAAGTATGTTAGCCGCTGTTTTCCAATCCAAAGAAAGTTGTTTGCCTGCAGAGGGAAGACACATCATGCAAAATATTTGCATTCCCTAGCTAGTTTCTCTACACACAAAAAAAGTTGCTGTCGAGTTCAATCTTGTATCTATGGAAACTATAGATTCATTGATACTGCCGGCGAAAACCTTTCTATCACAGCATACATGTTTTCAATTTCGCTTAATGGATTTTTTCCCTGTGATCTTCGACTATAAATTATAAAAAAAAAACAACGCTTATAAAACTAAACACTTAATTCAGAGAGTATTTAGTTKCGTGCGGACTTCTACTGATGAAATTTTGTATTCAAACAAGCCAAATAAACTTTGTTGACCCTTTGGTCGTCGTGATGCAAGTGTTTTCGCTGTATGTGTAAGGGGCATTGTCTATATCAAAACAAAAAATTAAGAAATAAAGAAAAATAAATAAATAAATAAAAAACAGAAAGAAAAAGAAAAGAAAAGAAAAAGAGTTGAGATAATTTAAGATTTCTTTTATTGCTTCAAGATAGTTCTTCCTTTGGTGTCACCTTTTACTTTCTGAAACACAACTATGTAACACTAGYAAAAACAAAGTGACCTCAAATATTCTATTTTTCGAGTGCTCACCATAAAAAAACAACAATACACCTTAGCTGTTTGACTGCGAACCTCGCATAAACGTAATATTTAGGTTTCATTACATACAGCTATTTCAAAAAAATTGAATAGTGAATACTGCATATTGCATTCCAAGACCGCAATGCATTGTTGCAATTAAGCTTAAAAAATGACAGTTCTCAACATAATTGCTTTCCATTTATGTTCTTGGTTGCGCGAGGCTGATTTAGGCAAACTACTTTTCGACGACGATAGCCAACAATGCATCTTAGAAAACAGTATCTTCGAATTCAAAATTTTCTGAAATAACTGTATTTGATTGCTATTAATAACGTGGTAGGCCAGAAATAATTCATTACACTTATATATCACGGATTTTTTAAATCAATATTCACCATTGCTATATTAAAAATTGTTGCTTATATTAATCAATATTTTCTATAAATCTATCATTTTGTACTAGTTATACTAGATTTTCTAATCATTTTTTATCTTTTACGTGGAGTGGTTAGGTCTTGACTAGACTACACAAATCTCAGTTTTGGAATTGACCGATTCGAAAATCACGGACCAATTTATGGCACACGTTCATCCAAGAAACTTTCCATATTTTTCTCACATTTAAAATATAGACATCTTTAATTTTGAACCAATAAAAAATCAACTGTCAACAAAAGATCTTTTGTAAAACAAATCTAACGAC